TGGCACAAATCCTCAGTATGGCCAAATGTGAACCCTGGTGGAGTTTGGGGAAAATCAACCTTGACATTTGGGAGTTGTAGTTGCTGGGATTTATAGTTCACTGACAAAGAGCCCCTTGAACCCCACCAATGATAGAATTAGTCCAAATTTCCCACACAGAACCCCTATGACCAGCAGAAAATACTGTGTTTTCTGATGGTCTTTGGTGACCCCTCTGACACCTCCTCGTGATCCCCCCCCCCCCAATGTCCCGACCCCCAGGATGACAAACACTGCTCTAGGTTTCCCCAGGCAATTCTATGAATGTGAGAACCTATCACATTTTAGTTGGTTTGGCCTTTCAAATGGTGGTCATTATATTCTCTTATAAAAAAAGAAGACATTAAGGAAGAGTCTGCATTGTAGAATTAATACAGTTTGACACCACTTTAACTGCCAGGGCTCATTGCTATGGAATAATGGAAGTTTAAGTAAACTAACACCAAGATTACATTTAAGGAAACTCACACCAGGATTAATGCAATGAGTCTGGGTTTTGAATTCTATTGCAAGTGATGACAGCAAAACTGTATTAAGGGTTGTGCTTACTCACCCACAGCATTTTTAAAGGAAAGATGGGAAGGATACAGGAATGTTCAGTAAATACATTTCAGAGTAGACTTCCAGCCAAATTAGAGCCCTAGATGGCAGGAGACTAAAGACTTGGCTGACTTGGCTGTTCAAGAAGGCGTTCAAACAAGAAGTGCAATGATTGGTAATGACTATAGGAATGGAACAACGGGAAATGATACTGGATTGTGATTTGGACGATGAGACGACGCTGAATGGTTTCGTAGTAATGACGATGTTTTGGTATATTGATGGATTGTGAATTGTTTTTTATACTGTGTCTTGTATTTGTTTTTTCCTATGTTGTACACCGCTGTGAGTCACCCCCGGGCTGAGAACAGCGGTATAGAAGCAAAGTAAATAAATAAATAAATAAATAGGAGTTGGACTGGATGTCTTTTGTGGACTCTCCCAATTCTAAGATTCTAGTTTTGGTGTTGATATGGTGCAGAATTTTCCATCATGTTTTTATAACACCTCTCACAGCAACAATATATATCTCTGTGTAATAACACACACTGTACATGAATAGATCTTGAAATCTATTCATGCAATGGCTTAGGAGGGTTAAGCAAGTCAAGAGACAGTCCTCATCTTGGATCTCCAGATGTTGCTGAACTATTTATTTATTTATTTATTTATTTATTTATTTATTGTATTTATATTCCGTCCTTCTCACCTCGAAGGGGACACAGGGCAGCTCACATAAAACATACATGGCAAACATTCAATGTTCTTAAACAGACGGGACAGGTTGAGAAACACTGGTGTAGATGCACCCCCAGGCATTGTAGGCTATTTGTATAAATAAATAGAAGAAATGTGAGCATTTTTTGTTTGTTTGTTCTTTTCTCGCCTCCCTTTGACCATGCATCCACTGCCATCACTTTTTGTCACTCTTATTTTAGTGTAATTTCAGACAAACAAACAAACAAACAAAGGAAGGCAGACTCTATTTACTATCCAAATAATAGGACCCCCTAATCACATTTTCATTTTTAAGAAAAAGCCATGCCATTTTTCAGGCTCATTGCAGTGATAAAGACTTCCCTACATTACAATCATTATATAAGCAATCACTGTAATTTTGCTTTCACAAACCCCTGCAATGTATATTTTCCCTATAATCAAGCAACAGGGGCCTGATATTGCTACAGTATATTAAAAGTAAATTATAAATCCTGTTACAGAAAATCTCTGGCAGAAATTATATTGAAGTCTAACAATTTAGTTGGTATCAAATAAGTGATAAAATTAGGCCCCTTCTACACTGCCATATAAAATCCAGATAATCTGCTTTGAACTTGATTAAATGGCCGTGTAGACTCATGTAATCCAGTTGATTATATGAACTGGATTATATGAGTCTACACGGCCATTTAATCCCGTTCAAAACAGATAATGCAGATTATCTACTTTGATAACCTGGATTATATTATATAGCAGTGTAGAAGGGACCTTACTTTCTATCAGTGGTCCAAAATACACTAATACAACTGTTTGTTCCTTGAATCCATGCATACATTTTGTGTATTCTGTAAAGTATGATAGAAGGGGCAATGTAGGGTTGCCACATTTTCTACTAGCCTTGTGCATATGCATGATTTAGCCATGGCAGTAAAAGAGGAATAATAACACTATAATTCTGCAGTGGGAATAGGCCTTTGGTTGGTGAAGAAAAGGCAAACCAGATTAAGCTAGTGGGACAGAATGAATCTGGATCTCCCTCTGGATCTGAAAAGAAGCTTGAAAGTGACCTCCCAGACCCCATATACACTGTCATATGATGCAATTTGCAACTTCATTATATGGCAATGTAGATAGGGCTCCAGAGTCATCCCATTGACTTCCTGGTAGAGCTATAAATGATCCAGGTCCAACTTGGCCTCGTCAGACCATTTGGCACTGGTTGTTTTGCATTACACAATCATCAACCATTCATAACCATCCTTTGATTACCATTTGTTCTTCTCTTTGTGTGCTCAAACATGTCTTACATTTACAGATTTGTCTCATGCCCCATTTACACTGTTTGAAAGTCGTTGGTATAGAGTCACATAATGCAGTTAAATGCCACTAACTTGGATTATATGAGTCCACACTGAATCCAAACTACATCATATGGCAGTGTGGATGGGGCCTCACTTCTTCTTTAGAACATCCCTGTCTCAACCAACCATCAAACCCACTATTCTGCATGAATGGAAAAATAATTGGGGTGTAAACAAGGAGCTCTCCTAATGTGAATTTCATGTATTTCCATCCAATGAGGTAAATTAATGGAGTATCTACACCAGTGGTTCCCAACCTGTGGGCTGCGGCCCACTGGTGGACCACAAGACCTAAAATATGGTCCACAGCTCTAGATTATTAAATACTAGCTGTACCCACCACGCATTGCTGTGGCCAACCTTCCCTCCCTCTCTCTCTTCTTTCTTTCTTTCTCTCTCTCTCTCTTATTATTATTTTATTATTATTAACTTTATTTGTACCCCGCTAGCATCTCCCGAAGGACTCAATGCAGCTTACAAAGGCCAAGGCCTCAAAACACAACATAACAATACACAACCTAAAGCAAATTAAAAACAGTTAAAGCAATATTAAACAACAAGCAATAAACAATACACCAGGGCACAATAAAACTGGGCCGGGCCAGAGTAATGGGTACAGATTAAAAGTGCTGATGTGACAGGTGATATGTAAGGATTATAGGGTAAGTGAAGCGTGCCGGCAATCTTAATTCTACTAAAGTGCTTCTGGGACTTGTTGGAGTTTTCCTATTCTGGAAAGGCACATCAGAACAGCCTGGTCTTTCTCTCCTTCCTTCCCTCCCACTTTCCTTCCTTCTTTCCCTTTTTTTCTTTCTCTCCTTCCTTCCTTCCTTCCTTCCCCCCACCTTTTCTTTCCCTTTTGCTTTCTCTCCTTTCTTCCTTCTCTACCTATTCTTGGACTGCAACTCCCAGCAGTCCTCCTGATCGATCCATCCATCTACCTACCTTTGTATCTCTATCTAATCTATCTATCGGGAGGATTGCTGGGAGTTGCAGTCCAGGAATAGAAAATTAGAAATATTCAGGGGTTGGGATGCTCTCAAAGAAATCCAAGGAGAAGCAAGCGTGCAGGTTGGAAGCAGTGCATTTGGATCATCCTCCTCTCTTAAAGGGCCTGGTCTAGGGGATGCTGGGAGCTGTAGTACAAAAGAGAGTGTGGATATGCAATTGTGTGTTTTGTTTGCTGGGGGAGTCATTTTTGTGCATGCAGTGTAGTGTCATTTTGCTTTTTTTGGCTTTTTAAGTCTCTTCAACTTTGTTTTTCAGTGTTTTTGTGAGTGATGGTCACTTGTTGGCCTGATAGGTGCATTGTGTCCACATTTCGTGTTGATTCGTCCAGTGGTTTTTGAGTTATGTTAATTCCACAAATGAACATTACATTTTTATTTATATACATGGTTTTCTATGGGCGAGCAGATGGTGTCTACTGGATAGCATAAGTTCTGTATTAGAAACTAGACTTGATGTGGTCTATCCAGTGCAATTTTCTGAATCAGCACTCCAAATAACCAAACTGAATCTGACCAAAAAGGGATTCGTAACCCTTTTGGTACTATATTGGAGGGTGATCCCTAGTGAAGTGGTCTCTGGTCCAAGTTGTCTCTGGTCAAAAAAAGGTTGGGAACTACTTATCTACACTATAGAATTAATGATAATTAACACACATTTAACTTCCATGGCTCAATCCCATGGGATCTGGGAGTTGTCGTTTTGCAAGGTTTCTCTAGCCTTCTCTGGCAAAGAGTGCTGTTGCCTCAACAAACTACAACTCCTAGGATTCCATAGCATTGAGCCATGGCAGTTAAAAGGTTGTCAAACTGCATTAAGTGGTTGAACCACTAGCATATGCTTCCTAATTATGGAATGTTGCCATCTTGCCCATGCTCTGAATTTGCTTGTTTTCCACCTTTGAAATATTGGAAGGTAGGGAATACCAAATTTAAAATTTGGACTAAAAGATTTACAGCCTCCCTGGCTTTGAATCTCCCAGGTGTTATTGCCGATATGAACACCTCTACTCTTTGCTGATAGGCTATGTTGTACACACAAATTGGAAATATAGAGCGCTGACAGGGTAACATCATACTGGGATCAAAGAGGGCATCTTTATGGCACTTTCTATGCTTTGAGGGCTGGGGATATGATTTCCCTGAGCATTCTGAGTTAATATTTAAAACTCAACATGGTTTGGAGTCCATCAACACAAACAGTTGTCTGTTTGCCTGTCACAAGTGTTTCATTTTTATCTCCACCAGGCCAAGGATACCTGCCCCTGGCCCCAGGGCCACAATTAATCAATTATTAATCAGGAAATGTAGTCATATAAGTATTAGGAAGAACCCTTCTGACGCTTTCGTGAAGTCGACTGCTACAAGAAAGTTGGGGTTAATTTAATCTTCCCTTCATGCCATTGTGATTCTGGGAGAAGGAAAATGAAGGTTGGGATCATCAGCATTTTTCTGCTGGTGCTAACATGCAGCCATGCACTACAGAGAGGTAAGGATTTGAAATCTTTCAAACACACATATGTTGTTGTTATGAGAAATCAAGAGCCCCCATTGGCACAGTGGGTTAAACCCTTGTAGTGGCAGGACTGAAGACTGACAGGTCACAGGTTTGAATCCGGGAAGAGCACAGATGGCCTCTCTCTACCAGCTCCAGCTTCTCATGCAGGTGAGTTTTCCTGCCATGTTCCAGAAGCATTCTCTCCTGACATTTCTCATGCATCTATGACAGGCATCCTCAGAGGTTGGGAGGTCTGTTGGAAACTAGGACAAGTGGGGTTTATAGGGAACTTGCGGCTGGGCACCAATGCGCATGCTCAGTTGTTTTGCCGTTTTGTGAGTGTGTTGTTGTGTTGTTTTTCATTTAGAGTAGATACGTTTGTACCTTGTGGGTTGTGTTATGGGCATGGGAATTTTGGTTAAGTTTCATTGGGGTTTTTTGAGTTTTGTTTTTTTGCTGTTTTGAGTGTGTTGTTGTGTTGTTTTTCATTTTGAGTAATATGTTTGTACCTTGTGGGTTGTGTTATGAGCATGGGAATTTTGGTTAAGTTTCGTTGGGGGATTTTTGAGTTTTGTTGTTTTGCCGTTTTGTGAGTGTGTTGTTGTGTTGTTTTTCATTTTGAGTAGATATGTTTGTACCTTGTGGGTTGTGTTATGGGCATGGGAATTTTGGTTAAGTTTCGTTGGGGGTTTTTTGAGTTTTGTTTCCTCGTTGGATGCCCCTAACAAATTTATATATATAGATATTTATATCATGCCTTTCTCTACCCTGGAGGGGACTCAAGGTGGCTTACAATAATTAATCTATTGCACTATGTTTCTTCTCTGAAGTCTGGATCCCAGAGCCATGTTTTCACTCTTTTTCTGAGTGGAGGCATCGCTGGGTAGGCACAGCCAAGGGGCCACTACTGAGAAGGCCCTGTCTCTCATTCCCACCAGCCATGCCTACGAAGGAGGTGGGACGGAGAGCAGGGCCTCCAAGATCTCCAAGATGGTTCATAGGGGGAAATCCATTCCAATGGAACAATTAAGGCTTTATAGGCTAAAGCCAGCACTTTTAGTTGTACTCGGTAACAAACTAGCAGCCAGTAGAGCTGATGCAACAGGGGGATTGTGTGCTGCCTGTATGTCGCTCTGGTGACAACCTGGATGCCGCCCATTGGACTGTTTCGAGCTTCCTTCAAAGGCAGCCCCACATAGAGCAAATTCCAGTAATATAAACCCCACTTGTCCTAATTTCCAACATACCTGACAACCTCTGGGGATGCCTGCCATAGATGCAGGCAAAACATCAGGAGAAAATGCTTCTGGAACATAGCCACACAGCCTGGAAAACTCAAAGCAACCCAGTGATTCCTGCTTTGAAAGCATTCAACAATACATCAAGTGAAACATGTTTCAGATGGAGTTTATTTCCTTTGATGGGAGATAATCTAGATCTTCATAGTATAAACACAAACTTTATACAATTATCTCAATCCTATCTATTAATCCTGGCTAGAAATGTGATCTTCCTGCAGTCTTTGACCCTTGGGGAAGAGAACATTTTCCAGCTTTTTTTGTCAACAAAATTGGGGAGGGATGCTATATAAGTAGCATTAGAGATCAAAAGTCATTTTGTTACTTTAGGAATGTCCCAATGTTCCTAGCTTGTTTGCAAGAATAGCATGAGGGACCTTGTCAAAGGTTTGCCTGAATTCAGGGTATGGCCCATCCACAGCATTCACTTCATGTACACCCAGCTTGTTTTTGAGAAATCCATGTTGACTTTTAGTGATCATAGCATTAAACCAACAGCTTGTTTACAGACTGCTGGTTTAATGATTTGCTCTGGAATATTTCCTGGGATTGATGTCAAGGTGATGGGAGTGAAATTGTTTGGGTTCTCTTTTTTTCCTCCTATTTGAAGATGGGGGCACTTGCCTTCTCCCCAGCTGTTAGGACTGTTCCTGTTCTCCAGAACTTTTCAAATATTATTGTTGTTAGTTGTTCTGAGTTTACTCCTGCCAGTTCTTTTAACATCCTTGAATGCAGTTGACTTAGATCTGGAGACTTGAATTTGTTTAGAGTGCCCAGGTATTCCTGTGCTACCTCTTTACCTATTTTATGCTGTATTTCCCCTACTGCATCATTGGCTCCATTTTGCCCAGGTTGAACACTGCGTCTCTTTTGAAAGAAGACCAAAGCAAGAAAGGCATTGAAGTCACCTGAGGCATTGAATGCTTGCCTTTTGGGGTGTGTTAGCTGTCCTGAGTCCCTTCGGAGAGAGAGGGTGGTCTAGAAATAAAGAGTTATTATTATTATTATTATTATTATTATTATTATTATTATTATTATTATTATAAACATAACAAGATTAGTACACAGCAAACAAGATCACTCTTCTGGCTGTTGTATTGGATCATGCATCTTTCCAAGTGTCTAGGACTGTGTGATGTATCAGCGAATAATGCGTGCAGATCCCAGTAAGGTGGCCTTCTGCAGCTGGCAGATGGTAATTTTGTCAATGCCCATTGTGCTTAAGTGCAGGCCAAGGTCTTTAGGCACTGCACCCAGTGTGCTGATCACCACTGGGACCACCTTTACTGGCTTGTGCCAGAGTCTTTGCAGTTCAGTCTTTGAATCCTCTTATCATGTCAGCTTTCCCAGTTGTTTCTCTTCAATCCTATTGTCGCCTGGGATTGCAACATCGACGATCCATCATTGTGAGGTCAGGAGTATTGTGCTCCAAAACTCATGTCAGTCTGAATTTGAAGTCCCAGAATAGTTTGTCATGTTCATTTTCCATAACTTTTTCAGGCTTGTGATCCCACCAGTTCTTTGTCATGGCACAAGTTCCAATGAATCATCTGAGCAACAGTGTTATGCCTCTGCTTGTAGTCTGTCTGCGCAATCTTCTTGCAGCAGCTCAGGATGTGATCTATAGTTTCATCTGCTTCCTTGCAGAGTCTATTATTATTATTATTATTATTATTATTATTATTATTATTATTAGACACAACAAGATTAGTACACAGCAAACAAGATCACTATGCTGGCTATTGTATTGGATCACACGCTGGACCCTTCCCAAGTGACTAGGACTCTGTGACGTATCGGCAAATAATGCATGCAGATCTGAGTAGGGTGGCCTTTTGCAGCTGACAGATGGTAATTTTGTCAGCACCAACTGTGTTTAAGTGCAGACCAAGGTCTTTAGGCATTGCACCCAGTGTGGCAATCACCACTGGGACCACCTTTACTGGCTTCTTGTTGTTGTTGTTGTTGCTACTGATTTTATCTGGACCCTGTTGGATGTGGGTAGCTCCATCTACGCCATGCAGTGGTACTACCACTTCCTCATTTTTCCTTTTGCTATGGACATAACAAAAAAAACCCCTCTCTCTAGCAAGTTTGAGCTCCTTCTGCACTTTAACGTTTCTGACCTTCTCCCTTCACACGCTGGCTATTATTCCACCAAGTGTCCCTGTGAAAGTGACACGTGAGAAGAGAGCCTCTCCTGTTCATTGTAGACTCATTTGGTAGCCTGGATGCAAGCGATATTGGACTTTATAGGTCATAACTAGTACTTTGAATTGTGCCAGGAAATAAACCAGCAGCCAGTGGAGCTTCAAGAACTAAGGATTTGCTTAGGACTACAGCTTCCACCATTCCAACATTGGTCCTACTGGCCAAGGCTGATGGGAACTATAATGAAAATGTCTGAAGGATACTATGTTGTCCTAATACTGGATCCCATCTCATTTCTACAAGAGTCTGTCTCATCTAATGGGAATACAACCAGGTAATTTGCCACCTGCCATTCTAGCTGATACAAAAGTGCCAAAAACGTTTCTCAGTTAAGATGAAGATTAAATTTACTTCACTTCAGAGACCTCCATTGTAAGTGCAAAAGGACCTCTCAAGTCACCCGATAAACCCCTTTTTCTGGGTTTGGATAGCTGAAAATGTGCTTTCTCTCACCCACTCACTCACTCGCTTCTGCTCTCATTAAGCCCTAGAGTGTTTCACTGAGCCTAAATGCTACAAATCACATGGAAATTAATGCTTCATTTACTCTGGAGAGAAAGTTGAAGCGATGTTGTGTTTTATTAAACCTCTAATAGGATTTTCTTGATGTTATAAATTGAAAGGCTCCCTGGTAAATGTGCAAAATTGTTTCTGCACATGGAGGGGTGTTCCAGATGTTTCTTGGGAAGGAGAGAGTCTGGACAGAGTGTACAGCAGGCTTAAAGAAGTCCAAAGGACACGTTCCAGTTCCCCCGCCCATTGAAAAAACAATTGATTGGTTTTTCTGGCGAATTGGAAGTACAAACCTTGAATAAAATATAGTATGTCTCCTGTACCCATGGAACCTTTACCCATGGTTTCAGTTACCCACATCCAACAGAATACATCCTCTCCAGCTATTCTCTAGGTCAGTGGTTCTCCACCTTCCTAATGCTGCAACCCTTAATACAGTTCCTCATGTTGTGGTGACTCCGCAACCATTAAATTATTTTTTGTTGCTACTTCATAGTTGGAATTTTGCTAGTGTTATGAATTGTACTGTAAATATCGGATATGCAGGATGTATTTTCATTCACTGGACCAAATTTAACACAAATAACTGCTACGCCCAAATTTTAATACTGGTGAGATTGGGCGGGGGGTTTGATTTTGTCATTTGGGAGTTGTAGTTACTGGACTGATAGTTAACCTACAATCAAAGAGCATTCTGAACCCCACCAAGAACTCCCATGACCAACAGAAAATACTGGAATGGTTTGGTGGGCATCGATCTTGAGTTTTGGAGTTGTAGTTCATCTACATCCAGAGAGCACTGTGGACTCAAACAATGATGGATCTGGACCAAACTTGGCACAAATACTCAATATGCCCAAATGTGAACACTGGTGGAGTTTGGGGAAAATAGACCTTGACATTTGGGAGTTGTAGTTGCTGATTTATAGTTCACCTACAATCAAAAAGCATTGCAGACACACAGAACTC